CCCCCGAAGCCCCCCAGAGACCCCCAGCAGCCGTGGAGCCCCCCCGCCAACCCCCAGTACAGCCAGAGGCAAGCAGGGCCCGTGGTGGGAGGGGGTTAACCCCTTACTAAGTGGGAGGAGGCAGATGAGTGGAGCTGGGCAGGGTCTCACCCCGCCCAGGCCTCTACTTGGCCCAGCCCCCCAAGGAGAGAGAGAGGTAGGGGGGTACTCACCAGTCCCCCTCCAGTAGGGCAGTGCCCCCCAAATCCCGGGCACGGCCCCCCCTTGCCCAAGAGCAGCTTCCCTGACAGCAGGCCCACTGCGCATGCGCGTGGTTTAAAAGGGCCCACCAACAGCAAAAAAGCCCCAGTTAGGCTCCGGAGTGGCGAGACATGTGGGTGAAAGCCCGCTGCTCCCCCACTCCCCCAAAGCCCCCCAGAGACCCCCCAGCAGTTGCGGAGCCCCCCGCAAACCCCCAGCACAGCCGGAGGCAAGCGGGGTACCCATGGTGGAACGGGGTTAACCCCTTAGTGAGTGGGAGGAGGCGGCTGAGTGGAGCTGGGCTGGGTCTCACCCCGCCCAGGCCCCTACTTCGCTCAGCCCCCCAGGGAGCCACGTGACCGGAGCCGTGCAAACAGGCTGTGCAAACAGGTGTGCTTGTCTGCCGGCGTGTGAGTTAGTGCAGAGTTTACGCAGGAGGGTACATGGGAGGGCTGAAGCCCTGCCTGTGAGCCCTGCCAGGGTAGACAGTCCAGACAGTAGCCAGCCTACCAGAGGCATGACGCGGATGGGCATGCACCGCACCCTGCGGCCCCCACCTCTGGCACCTCAGAGACAGCCACCCAGACGGCGCCCATGGTCCCAGGCTCCACACAGACAGAGCCCCTGGCTCTTGGCTATAGGGGCTGCCTGCCCTTTTTCAGGCTCTGGGACCCGAGAGCATGGCCACCTCCCCTTGTGGGGTCTGCGCCCCTTTGGGGTCTCTGGTGCGCCAGCTGGAGGAGCCCCAGGCCACAGTCCAGAGACTGCATGCCATCAAGGACTGTGAGCAGGAGATACAGACTCCTACTGCCAGGCCCTTCTCCCCTGGGAGCCAGAGGGTAGACCATGGTCTCCCTCCAGGACAAAGAAGGACTCCGGGACCTCCCGCTCTGTCCAGTCAGGGGCATGGACCAAGGTGGTCAAGGGCCCTAAGGCCCAACACACCAAGGCCCCTGCCCTGCTGGAGCTTAGCAACAGGTATGCACTTCTCGCTGCTCCAGCAGAGCCTGCTGAGTTGCCAACTCCCACAGGCAACACAGGCTCAAATGCAGCTACTGCCCCCATTCTCCCCAAGACAAAACATAAGGTGTTTGTTGTGGGAGACTTCATCCTGAGGGGGACTAAAGGGGCAATGTGCCGCCCCAACCCCTTATCCTGGGAAGTCTGCTGCTTCCCGGGGGCCTGCACCCAAGACATTGCGGAGAGGATCCCTAAGCTCCTCCAGCCCA